ATTATATGGTGTGCCATTATGTGGTGCGCCATTATGTGGTGTGCCATTATGTTGTGTGCCATTATATGGTGTGCCATTATGTGGTGTGCGTGGCAGTTGGTTGTGCGTGGCAGTTGGTTGTGCGTGGCAGTTGGTTGTGCGTGGCAGTTGGTTGTGCGTGTTAGTTCGTTGTGCGTGGCAGTTGGTTTTGCGTGGCAGTTGGTTGTGCGTGGCAGTTGGTTGTGCGTGGCAGTTCGTACTTTTTTACGCAGTTCGTACTTTGCGCCGCGCGTCGCGGGATCCGAAATGAACTTTCATAACCAAGCGCTATGCCGCGCTTGCGTTATCCGTTATTTTCAGAAAGAATTTATTTGGTATTAAGTTAAAATGAACCACAAAACGTGAATTTTTTGTAACAAGGACAGTTTATTTACATTATAATATTATCATTTGTACTGAATATTGTGTTATTTGTAACGGATTCTGCGGGATTCATAACAAATTAAATTATCAGAAAATTTGATCCATTACGAATATAACGCGACTCACATAGCTGATAGCTAGTCATTTATGTCGCTCAATTGATTGCCTTATTGCGCTGAAGTTTATTCTACACAAACTACTTATTTGCATTTCTCTATTGCATTAAGTAGTGAATTATCTGTCGTTGTAAATGTTTTTATTCAGTATCCTCGTAATAATATTCATGAGTTATTATGAATTGTCATAGTGACGACGTGAGCTTAACGTCCCTTTGCCCGGTCTCAGGTGAGGCTTTTGTACAGCAAAATTTCTTCGACCCTCACGACAACACCATCGCTGGGATCGATGATGGTCCCTCTGGGGGAGACTTCTACGACCCCCACCGCCCCCTGCACGGGGGACAACGCCCCAACAACAAGCGCCCCATCAGCTTCCTGCGTCCCGCCAAAGGAACGAACAGACCGGCGACGTCGAGCTTCGGGATCGATCGGCCGAACTCTGGCCCGCACGATAAGCCCATCGTCATCTTCACCGACGACGATGACCGGAAGCCCTTGACGAGGCCGACCCGTAAGCCTGACGAAGACTTCCCCTCGCTCTTCAACGAGCGCCCATTCACTTTTGAACGGCCCGACCACCACCCGCCCTCCTTCCATGCCGACACCACTCGGCCCTTCTTCCAGGACCGGCCACCGCTGCCCGGTCCCGACGACGGCCATGATTTCGTGTTCGAAGACTCGAGGCCCCAAAAATTTCCCTCCAAGAGGCCCAGTAAACCTTCCTCCACCCCCTTCAGGCCTGGGCCCGTGACCACCCCCACCCGCCAACACCCCAACCGCCCCACGCTCGACGACCTTCCCAGCGACAGGGGTAACTATTTAGTGTTACCCTCGTACTGAGGGCAACTATTTAGTGTTACCCTCGTACTGAGGGCAACTATTTAGTGTTACCCTCGTGCTGAGGGTCNGGGTAAGTATTTAATGTTACCCTCGTACTGAGGGTAAGTATTTAGTGTTACCCTTGTACTGAGGGTAACTACTTAGTGTTACCCTCGTACTGAGGGTAACTATTTAATGTTACCCTCGTACTGAGGGTAACTATTCAGTGTTACCCTTGTACTGAGGGTAACTATTTAGTGTTACCCTCGTACTGAGGGTAACTATTTAATGTTACCCTCGTACTGAGGGTAACTATTTAGTATTACCCTCGTACTGAGGGTAACTGTTTAGTATTACTCTCGTACTGAGGGTAACTATTTAGTATAACTCTCGTACTGAGGGTAACTATTTAGTATAACTCTCGTACTGAGGGTAACTATTTAGTATAACTCTCGTACTGAGGGTAACTATTTAGTATTACCCTCAAAGCGCAGAATCACGTCTAACCTAACCGGGCCTGGACAAGTTCATCATCAAGCTGCGTATTTCACAGTAAATTTATATTCTGGTAATAGTTTTTGAAATTGGCCAACTTTTTGAAAAAAACGCCTCTGAAGCATTTACGAACGAGTTTGCACAGCCCCCGCTCCACCCAAGTTTATAAATTAAATCCTTGCATTTCATACATGAGTCAGTTTTAATTAATTTCATTATTTAATAGTTCGACCGCTAATTATTTTGACTCGGCATTCAAGCATAAATTCCTGTCCATCTCTCAGATCGCACATCATGCATACTTTCGCTCACGTCTGTTCCAGAGTCTATGTATTGCGCCTGCCTCTTTTAATCAGATTAAGAACGATTACTTACGGTAAATGGGATTGTATTTTACCTAAAATATTTATAAATTATTCTACTTCAAGCAATATTTGCATGCATGCTGAATAAGGCGTCGAAGGGAAACAACATCTCGAAGGGAATGTTAGCTATTATTGAACTATGCATAGTCACTAGAGCCATGTAATCTCTGCACACATTTTTGTAATTAAAATTATCTACTTAAGACTGACGTTATAAATAAGCATTATTATATAAGAGGAAAGAATCAAGAGTTGAAGTTTCCTCCTCGAGCCGGCACAACTTACTTGCCCAGTACGACTGCTTCAGTTGGTGCCTGGGCCTCAGCAGGTCCCAGAGTTTCAGTTGGTGCCTGGGCCTCAGCAGGTCCCAGAGTTTCAGTTGGTGCCTGGGCCTCAGCAGGTCCCAGAGTTTCAGTTGGTGCCTAGGCCTCAGCAGGTCCCAGAGTGTCAGTTGGTCTCTGGGCCTCATTATGGTTCATAATAATGCACGCATAAGTCACCATAATGCACGCATAAGTCACCATAATGCACGCAAAAGTCACCATAATGCACGCATAAGTCACCATAATGCACGCATAAGTCACCATAATGCACGCATAAGTCACCACAATGCACACATAAGTCACCACANAAATAGAAGATATAATCTTGAGCGCAGTACAGACAAATGTACAGACGCTCGGCTATATCAGCTGAACGTACGAAATAGAAGATATAATCTTGAGCGCAGTACAGACAAATGTACAGACGCTCGGCTATATCAGCTGAACGTACGAAATAGAAGATATAATCTTGAGCGCAGTACAGACAAATGTACAGACGCTCGGCTATATCAGCTGAACGTACGAAATAGAAGATATAATCTTGAGCGCAGTACAGACAAATGTACAGACGCTCGGCTATATCAGCTGAACGTACGAAATAGAAGATATAATCTTGAGCGCAGTACAGACAAATGTACAGACGCTCGGCTATATCAGCTGAACGTACGAAATAGAAGATATAATCTTGAGCGCAGTACAGACAAATGTACAGACGCTCGGCTATATCAGCTGAACGTACGAAATAGAAGATATAATCTTGAGCGCAGTACAGACAAATGTACAGACGCTCGGCTATATCAGCTGAACGTACGAAATAGAAGATATAATCTTGAGCGCAGTACAGACAAATGTACAGACGCTCGGCTATATCAGCTGAACGTACGAAATAGAAGATATAATCTTGAGCGCAGTACAGACAAATGTACAGACGCTCGGCTATATCAGCTGAACGTACGAAATAGAAGATATAATCTTGAGCGCAGTACAGACAAATGTACAGACGCTCGGCTATATCAGCTGAACGTACGAAATAGAAGATATAATCTTGAGCGCAGTACAGACAAATGTACAGACGCTCGGCTATATCAGCTGAACGTACGAAATAGAAGATATAATCTTGAGCGCAGTACAGACAAATGTACAGACGCTCGGCTATATCAGCTGAACGTACGAAATAGAAGATATAATCTTGAGCGCAGTACAGACAAATGTACAGACGCTCGGCTATATCAGCTGAACGTACGAAATAGAAGATATAATCTTGAGCGCAGTACAGACAAATGTACAGACGCTCGGCTATATCAGCTGAACGTACGAAATAGAAGATATAATCTTGAGCGCAGTACAGACAAATGTACAGACGCTCGGCTATATCAGCTGAACGTACTTCCTGTCACCAGCAACGACTCTCTCTTTCTGTCGTCGCCACCGAAGCTTATTCCTCCCCGTAAACTCATTATTTCCACACCATAACCCACGTGTTATTCATCATCCGATAACTCGGTGAGCATCGCAGCCGTGCGGAGAAACGAACCTTTAATTTGGCCGCGTCACTCCAATTAAAGAGAAAGCAGAGTTAGGGAAAGCCTGTTTCTGCCTTACGTTATTTCTGCTCACTTTTGTCGCCCACGCCCTGGCAGTGCAAATAATGGCCAAAATGCATATCGAGCTATTATTTGACTATTAATTATAAAGTGTTCTCACTGTACTTTTCCTCTTTCTAGAAAATGTCTGGAGAGATGAAAATCAACGATAGAATTTATTAATGGCCAATTGGTAATAGAGAAAAACTTGCAGCTGCACTCGATCTTTTATCATATGTCAATTTCTTATCTGCACGCAATAACTTCGTGGGGCCAGTGCTGTATTTACCATGTCTGCACGCAATATCTTCGTGGGGCCAGTGCTGTATTACTGAATACCGGACAATTGTACTAACTTTGTTCTATCAATTGGTGAATCTAAGTTCCGTTGATAATTCAATGAACGTTTTGGTCATCGAAATTTTACGACGAGATATATCGTATACAATTTATTAAGGTAGCCTGGAAAAGAACACTCAAGCGGAAAAACTGCCTATAAAATAAATAGACATGTCAGCAATCNAATCACTGCTCCATATGAGTAATAGGACATGTTAGCAATCACTGGCCCTTATGAGTTATAGACATGTTAGCAATCACTGCTCCATATGAGTAATAGGACATGTCAGCAATCACTGCTCCATATGAGTAATAGGACATGTTAGCAATCACTGGCCCTTATGAGTTATAGACATGTTAGCAATCACTGGCCCATAAGAGGAAAATACATGGTAGCAATCACTGGCCCTTATGAGTTATAGACATGTCACCAATCACTGCCCCATAAGAGGATAATACATGTTAGCAATCACTGGCCCTTATGAGTTATAGACATGTCACCAATCACTGCCCCATAAGAGGATAATACATGTTAGCAATCACTGCCCCATATGAGTTATAGACATGTCAGCAATCACTGCCCCATAAGAGGATAATACATGTTAGCAATCACTGCCCCATATGAGTTATAGACATGTCACCAATCACTGCCCCATAAGAGGATAATACATGTTAGCAATCACTGCCCCATAAGAGTAATAGCCATGTTAGCAATCACGAACGGAAAAATTTATCAACATAATAAATCTAGCAGCTCCTATCGTTTATTGCATTTTCATTTTAATACACTGTTAGAAAAATGACCGTTAACGGTATTACCGGCGTTTCAGTGACCGGTCGGCACGTGAAAATAAACACCGTTTCGCCGTTTTTATTCTAATTTAACGCTAGAAGCTGGTAAAACATCTGATAAAAACGGCGAAACAGTTTATTTTCACGGGGCGACCGGCCACTAGAACGCCAGTGGGACCGTTTTTTCACCGTTTTTTTTTCTAACAGTGTAATAAAGAAGGCGGTGAGATCTAATACCGTGATAAGAGTCTTGTCGCTTTCTTAGTGTCGCGTTTTAAGCTTCATGTGGAGTCTCATCCTGGGCGTGGAGAAGTTAATTGTATTAGCAGCATGTAACGCCGCTGTTTTGTCTAACCGTAGCGCAGCGTACGTAAGTGCAAGTCGGCTGCAGGGATAGTGAATCTTGTGTAGAAGCCTTCTATTGTTGTTGAAAGTTACGCATATACTGTTATCTTGTACATATATATGCTATCTATTGTTTTTAAATGCTATGTTATACGTTGTTAAGTTTTGTGTCGTATCATTGCACTTAATGACATTCTGAGTCGCTTTGTTATGCGTACTTTTGTTATGCATCGTTCTCTTGCGTATCGTTATGATGAATATTTCAATTTTACGCGTTCATTCTCATTGCCTTTATATACGTGGGGCAGATTGTTGATCAATGTGTAGCCAGGCTACAAATTGATCATGCCGTGTTAAGTTTATCCTATTTGATGATATTAAATAAAAGTCTTATAGATTCCTTTGATTTAAAAGAAGTTTTATGAATTTACAGTGCTATCATTTGGCTTTTTGGCTTGCATTTGGCTAAGGCTGCAGTACCTGTTTAAGCCATGCCTCGCGCACCTGCATGAATAATTTGGCTTTCAACGAAAGATGACTAAGATGATACCGTGCGACAGATGTACATGCGCTACACGGCCGTGCCTTAAATGGGGCTAGAATATGCACGACCTATGCACCTATGCATCACTGAACTGCTGCAAGGAAGCACAACAAGATAAATCTATAAATGCTTGGAGTCACTACCCGAAGCTTCCGTTTTCTGCTTTTTATTTTGAAAAAATAATCCGAATGCCGTACGCCTTAACTTGCGGAATTTTCCTTCTGGGAAAAAAATTATCTGAGCGCCTTATGTCGAACGCCTGAACGCCTTACGAACGCCTTGCGGAGACTGCGATGCGCCCAAGAGAGCTATCCTCGCGTCCAGCGCATGCGCACGCTCGTCGCATTGATGCGCACACACGTCGCATTGAAGGGTGTGATTATTCCAACAATGTTCGTACTTTAACGCTTAGTTTTGTGTTTTATAACAAACCTGAGATCGTTTCGTTGAGAAACCTGTGGCACCTACTTAGACTATTACCAATTCGAGGAAATTCGTTTTTACTTTGTTTAAACCTTGGCAATATAAATAAAACGAGGCCATTCGAGCGCGCATCTACAACTCGTAATGTTACCTGAGGATGGTACTTAACTCTATAAACTTACATTGCACACCTGTGGTGGAACCATGAGGCGTTGAGAAATGAGGGTGGGAGTAAGATTTAGGTATTTTCTTGTGATTGTCAATTTTGTAGTTACGGATGGTATTCATAACTAACAAACGTTTCTTTCAACTTTCAAAACAAGATTTAATGAGAGTTGCGTCATTGGTATGAGTTTGGTTGTAATACGGCTTTCTTTTGATTGTAACTGATTTAATTAGAAAATAATTAAAATATAATCTTGAATTATATAAAAATATAATTTTTATTTTTTCAATATAATATAAATATTTTAAATATTCGAAAAATTTGAATATTTTAATATTGGTATAGTTCGTCAGAAGCTTTTCTTTTATGCAAGTTTGATTGAAGACCAGAGCATGCTTTTTTATAAATAATCTTCTTATTCGTCTTTTCAGTGACTCGAACTAAATTTCTAGCTGGAGCCGGGAGATCAAACGGCAGGTTACCAAAAGACATTTTAATAGAATGCGACGTTTCGACAATACAATTTTCATTATCAAGCAGGTGAAGGTTTTGCAACACTTGAAATTGAACATTGGAAATGACAAAAGTACAAATTAATGGTATAGTGGATACAACTTAAGATATAAGCTTAAAATAAGAAGCATGCTCTGGTCTTCAATCAAACATGCATATTTGAATATATAAATAATTTGAATATTTGAATATTTATATATTTTTTATTTAGAAAATATGATATAATTATATACAAATATCATTTTGATTATAACTGTTTTTAATCGTGCTAATTATAACTGTTGTTTAAGCACGATTAAAGGTGAAGTAAATTTACAACGATGGGGCAGTCTCGAGCAATGCCGGTCAAGCTGCAAGTTATTTCACAACTTAAAGCTATAATTTTGACATAAATAGGAGGTTTACCCGGCCTTGCCTGGGATAGATTCTAATTGCTATTTTATTATCAATTTTTCCAAAATGCCGTCATTCAGAATCTGGCTGATAATCGTACAAGCAAAATAATGCGAAGAAAAGACGTTCAAACCCATACACAGCATGGAACTCCCAATCAAGACTTGTTCCGAAATTTGAAGAAATCTTAACCTATTATTTGTTAATAAACTTTACAACTTAACAACATAAAAAGTCCATATTAACATTAAATTTAATCCTCCCTTCATTTGGCTAGGTCACAGGATTCCACTTGATATTTAGATCTCCTGGTGATAGTTAACAAGATAAGTATCGTGGATACGCGATAAAACATCTGATGTATTTACGGGGCGAACTCCGGTCATATCGTGCGTAGCGCGTCTGTTGCTGGCCACGACACCGCGACTGCCGTGCGTAGCGCGTCTTTTGCTGCATTTAAATTATTTCAACTAGACTAATGCTGAATGTTCATTATTTACTGACGAAATGGGCGAAATGTTATTCGTGAACTTGTCATGTGGATTTCATTTCGAAAATAATAATTTAAACGAGTGGGATGTCGCGAAGCTGGCTGCAGTGCTTCGTTATATTTACTTTTTCATATTTCTTTACATGTTTGCATTATATTCACTAGCAATATATTCCCGGATAGGTTAATTATCTGTTGATATGTTAAGACTCTAATAAAGTTGTTCAGATATTGCTTCACACTCCGTACCTTGTGCTCATTTCCACCTATATTGCGCAACAAAATAAGCGGCACGCTTGAAGCTTTAATTTTCTTCAAGAAAATTCCGAATAATATTTATTTTTTAAAAAGTTGATGGCGTTCATGCGAGCGTTATATCTGGTGACGTCATGTAACGTAACGTCTGTTAATGTCAACCTCACGTGACGTATGTGAGTGTGATGTAAAGTCGCATCACGCGCTACAGTTCAGCCACGCTTGTCCCTGTATCGCGCGTGTTCAGATCGTAGCTTGTCCCAATTGTACTCAATATTGTATTATTTTCTCGATGAATATCCTCTTCATTACGCCTGTTAATATCAGGCAAAAATGATCCTATTATTTTTGTACGCGATAGTGTATTTTTTTCTCGACGAATATCCTCTTTATTACACCAGTTAAGATCAGGAAAAAATGATCCTACTATTTTTGTACACGATATTGTATTATTTTCTCGATGAATATCCTCTTCATTACACCAGTTAATATCAGGAAAAAATGATCCTACTATTTTTGTACTCGATATTGTATTATTTTCTGGACGAATATTCTCTTCATTACACAACTAAACATAAGGTAAAGATGAAATTTCAAATTGTTCACCATTTGCATGGAAAAGCCTTGAAATTCTGTGGAAATTGGTTGGATGGAACTAATTAATTAAGGCATTTAAGCTTCCCATTTAGCAGCTTTTGACATTTATAAAAAGTGTGATAATTAACTGCGCATAAAAAGTGTGATAATCGTACGCATGACCACAGTGGAAGGAGCGGAAAGCGCGACGATATGCAGCACTACCTTATCTTCATCTAAATGAATATGCAATATTTACTTTCTTATGTTTAGTTTAGTGCAAAATTTCCCGAATACGAATGGCGATAAAACTAATTTGTAAAATCGTTAAGCATCAATAAAAAACGTAAATGTTTATTTTTTGGTGCATAGATTTATTCGTTCGGTGAAATACAGAGCACGCTGACCGCCCAAAGAAAGTTTCCCTCTTGGAGGCCACAAGAGGCCGCCTCGCTTACAAGATTTTATGTAAAGAGTCCCGCGATGACGAGGCAAGGTTATCCTGAGCCGCCCCACCCGCGCCTCCAGAACTGCAGCTGGCGGTCACCCCACGTGGATGTTGCCGTAGTTGCGTGGATGTTGCCGTTGTTGCGTGGATGTTGCCGTTGTTGCGTGGACGTTGCCGTTGTTGCGTGGATGTTGCCGTTGTTGCATGGATGTTGCCGTTGTTGCGTGGCCCATCCAGCGAAAACCGAAGAATTTAACAAATGATCGTTTGATTATTTTACTCGTACATTTTTCGGGACATCAATTTTTTTTCTCCCAATCTCCTTGGCGCGGTTAGCGCATACGTCAATACGCGGTGGTGTGTCGATGCGCTCAGCGATGTGTGCCATGATGTTGGCTGTTTATTACGAGGGATACTGTGTGTTCATTCATTCATTCATTCATTCATTATTATCAGCGTATTATGCCTGCACCGATGCCTGTATGAAACAATAAAGTATGAGTAGTATGCCTGTATAACAGAATAATGTCCATGTATTTATGCCTGTAACCAATGCCTGTATGACAGAATAATATCTGTGCATTATGCCTGTACCAATGCCTGCATGAAAGGGTAATATCTGTGTATTTATGCCTGTACCAGCAATGCCTGTATGACAGAATAATATCTGTGTATTATGCCTGTGCACCTGTAGTCAGAGGTTCAACATCGACATTTATTCCTCCCAGGCGGACTTTGCAGTGAGTTTGTATGTGGCCGACTACTGGCCAACCATCGGCCGCCTAAAACCCGCCTATTCTTATCACCAAGAGGATTAGAGGGTAGATGTGGGCTGACCCAAAGCGATGAAAAGGATCCGAGGGTAAAAGGGTAGATGTGAGCTGAACCAAGGCAATGAAAAGGATCCGAGGGTAAAAGGGTAGATGTGAGCTGAACCAAGGCAATGAAAAGGATCCGAGGGTAGATGTAGGCTGACTCAATGGAGAGCATATAGGCCGATCTTTCTGCTGCTACACGGCAAGACTGTTACAAAGACTGACCGAACATTGCCATGCAGTCCTAGTAGATGACACTCCGCTGAGCAATAAACATTATTCATTTTGCTGCAGTATACATGACACGGAATTTACACTACATTCTCATAGTAACAATCTTCAGGATCTCCCCTAGTGTTCTCTAAGTCCATAACCTGAAACTAATAAAACTAAACTAAACTAACATAAAACTAAGATACTCCTGTCCCCCACATCCACCGACACAGCCTGTGTATGACAACCCCTTTTCATTCCGACTCATGCCTCCATGCCTCCTCATTTCCCTTCATGCCCCCCTAAAGCCCCCGCACACCTCTCTCATGCTCCTGGCCTCCATGCCCCTTTACACCCCCTCATGCCCCTCGCCTCCATGCCCCTCGCCTCCATGCCCCCTCGCGCCCCCCTCTCATGTCCCCCCCCCTACTCCTTCATGCCCTCAAGCTCTTCACGCCCTCCTTAACTCCCCCTCTCACGCCCCGCTCACCCGCAGAGTGCGGCGAGGTGTACGCGCGCACTAAGCGCATCGTGGGCGGCGCTGAGACGGCGTTCGGCGAGCAGCCGTGGCACGCGGCCATCATCAAGGAGAGCTTCTTGTCCAAGCGCATAGCCTGCGGCGGCGCCCTCATCAGCAAGCGCTGGGTCGTCACCGCCGCCCACTGCGTCCACAGGTGGGTCACGGCCGGCAAGTGTGTCCACAGGTGGGTCACGGCCGGCAAGTGTGTCCACAGGTGGGTCACTACCGGCAAGTGTGTCCACAGGTGGGTCACGACCGGCAAGTGTGTCCACAGGTGGGTCACGGCCGGCAGGTGTGTCCACAGGTGGGTCATGGCTGGCAAGTGTGTCCACAGTTGGGTCACGGCCGGCAGGTGTGTCCACAGGTGGGTCACGGCCGGCAGGTGTATCCACAGGTGGGTCATGGCCGGCAGGTGTGTCCACAGGTGGGTACGACCGGCAAGTGTGTCCACAAGTGGGCCAGGTATTCTCTACGTGCATAAGTCTTCAGTCGCAACAACCGCCGGGCTGAGCGGATAGTCTTGGGGTCAACGAGTACGAAGTGTCGGTTAGACGGTGTCCTCTTGACCTTACCTTCAACTTGTCTCGTGAGTGTAGTTAGTAGGAGTAGTAATAGTTAGTAGGACTATCTATCAGTAAAGTCCTACATAATAGTTAGTTGGACTATCTTTACTCTTTCTACACCAAATATGTTCTATAGTTATTAGTAGTAGGAAGTTAGTAGTATTACGCCTCTGTCACAACGCCCCTGTCACCAGCACCCCCATCGAGGGCATGAAGGTGCGGCTCGGCGAGTGGAACGTCCGCCAACAGAACGAGCGCCTCCCGCACGACGACTACGACGTCGAACGCAAAGAGGTGAGGGGGGAGGGTGGGGAGGAGGGAGGGGAAGTGGGGGCTCCCGCACGACGATGGGAAGGGGGGGCTCTCGCACGACGATTAAGACGTCGAACGCAAGGAGATAAAGGGTGGTCTAAGGAGAGAGGAGGAGTTAGGGGCTCCCGCACGGCGACTTCGCCGAATGGTTTACCCGGCGTTCTAGTGGCCCGTCGACCCATGAAAATAAACCGGTCTGTGTTTTTTTAAGTGGCGCGGGTTTCTTAACATGGCATAGCATAGTGATGTCGACGCTGAAGTGTAGGCCTGATGTGGTCTGTCGCCGATTCTTGAACTGTACGTGCCTTGTTCACAGAAGATCTACAATCGTGTCATTTCACCGGATCTCATGACTGACGATAGTTTAAAATAGCTACTAGACTTCCACCGGGTGCGATATGGTGTTAGGCATTTCAAGTCTGAACATATATTTTTCCATAGCTTTATCTAGTCTGTTCTTGAACGCGTTCATACTTGGAGCGCCAACGATGTCATCGGGGAGGCTGTTCCACATGTCGGTGATTAGAAGCGGAAAGAAATTTTGTCGCGTGGAGAAGTTGCAGCGCAGTTTTTTTTAGCTTAGAGCCGTTGCCCCTTGTGTTGGTTCTCGTTTCAAATTCTAGTAATCCTTCTGTGTAAAACAATAAGTAAACTTGTTAACTTCAATGAGGTCACCACGCAGACGTCGAAAACAGAGGCTTGGAAGCTTCATAATCTTTGCATGTCTTTGAACGCTTTCTATTAAATTTGTGTCCCTTTCAAGTCTCGGTGACCACACAGCGTTTCCAAACTCTAGGTTCGGGTTCATCGCGGCTGCTTCCAAGAACTCGTAGGAAAGTCAGATCATTCCAAGAAGTTTGTTGGATTTATTAGCTTGCGTTTCAACATGCTTAGAAAATTTCAGCTCCTTGCCGACATAAACTCCGAGATCTTTTTCCACACTAGACTTTTCAATCATTACTCTCTCGTTGCAACCATGTCTTCTCATACTGCAATCTTGCTGTTCATTGTTCTTCTCGAGGTGAAGTACTTTAAACTTGTCATCATTAAACCGCAGCTGCCACGTATCAGCCCAATTAACTAAGCTGTCAAGATCATCTTGCAATTGCGCTTTATTTGACGCATTCTTCACTGAATTATAAACTTTTGTGTCGTCGGCATACATGGAGCACACGCTGGACACTGCTTCTGGCAGATCGTTTATAAAAGCAACGAACAAAATAGGCCCAAGAACGCTTCCTTGTGGCACGCCGCTGCGCACTGATGCCCAGTCTGACACGGTTCCGTTAACACTGACACGTTGTCGTCTACCTACTAGAAAATCTCTGATCCATTGGAGTACGTTTCCCTCAATTCCCAAAGACTGCACTTTACGTAACAGCCGCTCATGCGGAACACTGTCAAATGCCTTGGCAAAATCGAGGTACAATGCATCCACTGGTTCCCTTTCGTCCAGCAGGCGAGTCCACTCGTTCAACGTAGATAATAAGTTAGTAGTGCAGGATCTACCGGCAATAAAACCATGTTGACAATCTGATATGAGATGGTGAGCAGTCAAGTGATCGATGATCCTACAGTGCCGGAAATGGCTATACGACCACCTAGTTTTCTGCAAATATTTTTTCTTGCACAGAAAAATATGAGATTCTAATTACACGAGGTTAAAATACGTTTAAAAACGGTTCCAACGCAATGCGAAAAAAATAATTTTCTCAAAATATATGAGAAGAAATTATGAAAATTAGAAAACCTAGGTGGAAATGGTTATAAGACCAGGATAAGTTTTCCTCCATTTTGGTATCTTTGATTACGATGGCCTACTTTTGTTTGATTATAGAATTTCGTCCTACTTCTACTTTATTATTATTATTATTTACTTTATTTACTATTATTAGTAAATACTTTATTATTACTACTTTATTTATTATTATTAATTTTTTTGACACCTGTATTGAACTATCAATCGTATGGAAATCTCGATAGAGTTTTTAATTAAACATTTTTAAAC